GAAAAATGCAAAGCAGCCTGAGAGCAGATGGCAGCACGGGTCAGAAAGCAAAGCTATGGCTTCCTAAGCAGCCAGCCCTGTGTGGGTCAGACGCCATGGACAGCGATGTGGACCAAGAGCAGTGGCCTGGGATCCAGGACCCTGTCACTGTTCCTCAGTGGGGAAGCAGAGCTGGGCTGGAGGGGAGCGGTGGTCTGCAGCTGAGGGCCAGAGCAGTGGTCTGCTCAGGAGGTGACTCCGGGAAGTTATTTAGACGTTAGGTTTGTTTCTTCCGCTAATGGGCGCGGACAGGGCACTTTATGCCACAATGTTTGTCAGCCCAGTGTCCCCAGACACCTTAGTTAACAAGATGCTGGAAGACAGCGAGGGGCAGGCCAGCACAGTGGCGAGGGCCTGGGCCACTAGATGCAGAGGCCGCCAGCTCTGCGATGTAGCTTTTACTGCTTTGCAGCCTGTGTACTTTGTTTACTGAGCAGCTACGAGCACGGCCCATTTTACCCCACTGCACGAGTGTGGAGGCCCCACACTGAAAGGACAGGTGCAGGAGGCAGCTGGCTCCTGCCCCAGACACTGCTGTGCACAGCAAGACGAGAGTGAGGAGGCAGAGAGACAAGGCTGCTGCGCGCTGCCATGAAGAGGTGGCTGGGAGAGCCGGGCGGACCAATCATGTTGGCCCAGAATTCAAGTAACTGAAAGAAAAAGCAACAGAAGCAGGGTGTGAGAGGGCTGGGAGGAGAAGCGGCAGGAACGGTCTCTGCTTCGCTGCTGTCCAGTGCCACGGGGTAAGGTCACTCTGCCACTTACGGAGAGCTCGCCAACAGGCTGGCGGAGAGGCCTCTGTCCTGCCGCTGCCAGGCTGCTGTGTTCCAGCACCCCACTCTCCCTGGCAGCAGCCCCCGCTTCAACAGAATCTACCAAATACACTGGCAGGCCCTGCTACCCTGGCAGCTTGCCTCTTGGCCCCACGTCTGCCCACTCTGTCACCTCCGCTGCCCCTGCCCCTCCTCCAGGCTGGATCACATGCTGCCTCCGCTGGGCTCTGTGCAAAGCTGGAGCCCGACCCCACCCTGTGGGTCATCCCTTTTCTGCTCCCATCTTCTCTGCATGACCAGGGACATACCGTGCTGTTTACTGTCCTACTTGACGTCAGCCTCACCACTGGAATGCTGCAGTCCCTCCTTTTCATCTGTTCTGTCCTAACTGGGGCACCAGAACTGTGCTCCCTGCCTGTGGCAGATTGATGGCTGAATGAGTCAATGTGCTAGGAGTCATCAAGGTGACCAGGGCCACTTGGTTTGTTCCCAGACCATCTAGGGCATTCCATGGCCACTGCAAGGAACATACAAGATGCAAGAACCGGGACCTGAGGTACAGTGGTATGGGGAAGGAGGAAGGACAGCCTCCCTCGGTGCCGGAAAGCCCAGGGAGTGGGTGGCGTGGCTTCGGCTTCAGTGTGGCAGGTTGCAGACAGGGGTAGTTGTGCCTCTGGAAGCAAAAGCAATTCGGCCTCCCCAGGGGCGAGAAGAAAGCCGGAGTCCTGCTGGCGCTGGGCAGCAGCCAGCGTCTGGAAGCACAATGCCTGTCTGTTTCACTGCTTTCTCTTCTCGGAGGCTGCTGGCCCACCCCACTGGAGTGGGGTGGCACTTCAGGACACGAAACTTGGAGCTGGCGGCGAAGTTCTTGGAACCGGTGGCAGGAAGATCTAAATTAAGACCTTTCCATCACACCAAATAAATAGAAGCTGAAACGGAGACTACAGGAATTCGGCAGCATGCCTTTACACATAATTTTTGAATATGAAGGGGAAGACCTCAGGAAGCAGCCCAGGGTTTATTCACGAGCGCCTCAAGGTACTTGCTGAACACAATGACAGTCTGTTGGACACAAAAGCGCATTAGAAAGTGCAAGCTTCTCTTTGAAGCGCCCTGTGCCAGGGGATGGCAATTTCCACTCTGCTGGAAAGGCTGACAGGACCCAGGGCCTAGTCATTCTTCTCAAAGGACAAGATGTGTTACCGCCATCATGGCGTCAGCATCTTGCTCTCACATAAGCTTCTTGCTTCACGCCAAGACACGAAGGCTCCCGAGGAACCATGAGAAGCCTCTCAACCAGGTGCTGTCCTGGCTCAGAAAATGGTGGGCCCATCCTTCCAGGACAGCATGGGTTCTTAGCCGGAGCGCGCTGGACAGTTCACCCAGCAGAAAATCCCCTAAGGTGGGGCGTCACCTACCATCTTCCGTGTGGGAGGAGACTGGGCACCTGCAGTCCCATGGACCAGCTGTGGGCTCTGAAGTTACCTGGCCACTTCTCCTGTCCACTGATGACTGTACTCCCAGTGTGACACCATGAGCACAGAACCCATTATGTTGTGTCCTAACAACCCAGAGACGTGGGCAATGCATTACCCTCAATTGCTTCGGTTCTTAATGTAGTAGTCGGGTTTTAGCAGCAGGTGCATTTGACCACTGGCTCACAGACCCTGAGAACATACTAGCTGACCTTGCTGGCCGTCAGATGGAATGGACTCCAGGGCTCCACACCGTCACAAAGGCAGACATGTGGTCCTCAGGACAGCTCAGGACAGTGCACTGCCACCCTGGGAAGGTCTTCATTTCTATCAGGCTGTGCAGGACCCACTTGTGTACTTGTGGAACAGCTGTTCCGCCTTTGCCTCTTCATTTTATGCGCTGCCTGTCTTCAGTTTTTAGCAGGCACTTACTAAGGAGCTCAACACTGAAGATCCAACTTACCAGCCTTTACCTTCATGGTTTCCTAAGAATTTGTTGTCCGGAAGAGCATTATCTGACTGCACATTTTTAGGGCTGCCCACCCAGAACTGCTATCGGGTTAAAGGTTCCCCAACACTATTCTTCTCAATGTAGCCAAAGTCTTTCTGACTTTACGCTAACCAGTCTTGATGGACAGTCCACTTACTGTTTTGTTTTTCAGTTGACTAGAATTACGGTACTCTTGCTATTTTTTTTTCTTTAAAGTGGGGGAACAGTGAAGCCACGTAAGGCAGAGGCAGAAGAATAGCTCTCCCTCAGCCAGGGAGCCTGGCTCACCTAGCCACTGCCCCTTGAACCAGCCCTGCCAGGCCCTTCCGGTGCACCAGTGCAGAGGCCTTCAATCCTCAACAAGCCAGCTCAAGCACTCACTTTGGGACTACAGGTGAGACGATCCTTTGTAACAGAAAAGATCAGGATCAGTGTCCTGGGCTTGGGACTGAAAGGTAGCTGAAAACATTTTTCAAAATGACTTTGAGCAATTTGCTCCAGTTCTGGCCAAGACCATACAGTAAAGTGCTACCACTTTACCTAACAAAACCTCTCTGCAGGGTCAGCATGACCCTACATACCTTACAGGCAATGGCCAGTTCCCCTTCAGCGAAGGTTCATGTGCCTCAGGTTATCTGCTACTCCTTCAGTGACAGGTTGCATCTGGCATCTCTCCTACACAGCTCACTAGTACTTGCAAACTATACAGAACAATGGGCCGCGACATTTTCTTACATGCTTATAACACACTGTTCATCAATACCTGTTCTAAGAGCAGTTCTGGCCCTTGCTCTTAGCCACCGTGCTGCCCTGGTGCTGCCTGCTTGTCTTCAGCTCAGCATATGATCTCATGACAAAGGGTTTCCAGCTTTGCCTTCTCATGTATCCCTGAATCCACTTGGGCCATGACTAAGGGACCGAACTAGTCTTGCTGCTCTAGCTGTGGTGTGAGATCCCTCGGGCCATCTGCTTCCACAATATAGTCTCTCACATTACCTTACAGCATCTTGAGTTTCAAAGTAATCATCCATTAATCACAACACAGGTTAAACACTTGAGTTTTTTTTTTTTTTTTTAATTTTGTTTGTAGTTCTTTTTTTAACACTTTATTATGTATACAGTGTTCTGCCTGCATGTGTGCCCACAGGCCAGAGAGGGCACCAGATCTCATTATAGATGGTTGTGAGCCACCATGCGGTTGCTGGGAATTGAACTCAGGACCTTCGGAAGTATAGCCAGTGCTCTTAACCTCTGAGCCATCTCTCCAGCCCCAGAGAGAAAATTTTAAGCCATGCCACTGCTTCAAGTTATATGTTATTTGAATACACCTGAGTTTTATTTTAAAATTGTGCTTGCTTCTCACGGTTGCCATCATGGAGACAGCGACTAGCAGAATGACAAATACAAGTGGGGTCCCAACCTGAGGTCAGGGATTAAGAGTGGAGGATTGTCAGCACCCTCAGCCTTCTGCAAGGAATGTGTGCACCTTGTTCACTCCTCCAGGTTTTGAGAACTGAGTGCTGGGATGCAGTCCAGCAGCAGCAGCAGCAGCAGCAGCAGCAGCAGCAGCAGCAGCAGCAGCAGCAGCAGCAGCAGCAGCAGACCATGAGGAGGTTACATCCTCAGAGAGTGGTGAGTCCCAACTCAAGACTGTGAAAGCAGCATCTGGTACGGAAACACTCCGAAAGATGTGTCTTCAACTCTGTTCTAGGACAGGCACATCTGGTATCAACTGTCCTGTCCAATAGGAGTGTCTACATTTAGTGAAATAAATTTATTAATAGACTGTTTTCCTTAATAAGCTATCAGTGCCCAGCATACCAAAAAGGGCCTTTAAAAAGCCGCTATCAATCAGCTTCAGCAGTCTGTGAACCCACAAGTGCCTTAAAAACAAACTTCCAAGAAATGCAGTTATCCTCAGCATCTTCGCATGTGTCCACAGGAGAAAGCTCTTCATTGGGCCTGAACAGTCAACTCTGTCATTTCTGCATAAACATTCTACTCACAAATTTAAACAGTCAGTCTTGTGAACTTGTTTGGCAAGCTGTATTTAGGCACAAAGGAATGTTTTGATCTACACTCTAAAATAACCCAAGATCCTTGGTCAAGACTTCTCAGATGCTGCATGCCTGCTCTTCCCAAATAAAGCCAGAACCATGAATTTTCAAGGAGAATGCAATTAAAATTACCTGGAAAGAATGGGCAAGAATGACAGTGAAGTGCTAAACTTTCAGAATGTTCTTTATTGACAGGAACTGGACAGGTGTAAGGCATGTTCACAGGCTCTGAAGTGAAGCACAGGAGTTCATTCTCTCAAGAGCTACTCTTCTCTGTAGCCGATACTACAAACTGGCCCTGTGCACCCTAAGATGCACTGCTTTCAACTGTGGGGACATGTAGACCAAGATTCAGGGATCACCATGGAGGACGTCTTAGAGTAAGGAGCGAGCTATACACAAAGTCACTAAGACACTACAACTCACACGGACACAGGTACAGGTGACCGCATTTTCAATGCAACAGAGAACACGCCGCTGGAAACCTTTTTTGTTCTTCCTGTTTGAGAGAATGTATCCAGGGTTGATGTTTCTGCAGCTGCCACTGCCTACATGTCACTAAGAAACACGGCTTCTGAACAGCTTCTAATGCAGTTAGTTTGTTTTAGGATAATAAGGATCGCATGCATCACTTTACACAAACGTCAAACACAGAACAATGCTAACAGCAACACGTCAGGACTGTCTGGCATACTCCTCTTTTGGTGGTAGTATCCAGGAAGGAGAATGATGCTGACAGGTCCTACACAGTGCCCCTGTGCTCAGCACTAGCTGGCTGGACATTTGCAAGCACTGGCTGACTACTCATGAGACCAGCACAGGAATCTTAGTGTGTCAAGTGGGCCTGTTGTGAACAGACAGCCTGTTTCCAAGGGAAGAAAAATTCTTAGCCGATAGGAATTAAAAAATATTTCATAAAGCCGGTGGTGGTGCACACCTTTAACACCAGCACTTGGGAGGCAGAGGCAGGCAGACCTCTGGAGTTCAAGGCCAGTCTGGTCTACAAAGTCCAGAACAGCCAAGGCCTCACAGAGAAGCCCTGTCTTCAAACCAAGTTTTTCAAATGATTTCCAAAAGGTGGAACAATTGGATCACATGAAGAGGATTCTACAGTTCCAGGTGAGAACTGGAGGGGTAAGCATCTTCACAACTTGAGCACGGCTCTGAGACGCTGAGCACACAGCTGCAGAGACTGACTCTGTTGGCCTTGTGATGCACGAAGTAAGAGCTCTCGCGAGTGCTGCTTTGACATGGACAACAGGACACTCAAGCAAGTGTGGTTGTGTGTGCGTTAGCGCAGAGACGACCTGCAGCAACAGGAAGGTGGCTCCCGCGTGCGAGGCACCGGCGCTTCGGCGGCTTACTCTTCTAACAGCAGGTCCCCACTGCCACAGGTTGGGCATGTGCTCTGCCCCTTAAGCCACTGCTTAAAGCACTGAAAACGAGAAACACAATCAGCTACTGCCTCCAGGACCACACGGGCCCTTGGCTCTCTCAAACCACTGGACTCTGGAAACCTCTGAGGCTTGTGCTGTCCAATATTTAAGAGACATCAGTGTCTGCTCATGGAGGAGCACGGATGGACTCTCAGGACAAAAGTCCTGTGCTCCAGAATTGGACTCGTGATTCAGGCCTTGCCTCCCTAGCACTCTAGCCTCGGTCTGGGCTCTTCCAGCTTCCCTCACTGATTTGCCAGTTTTGTGGCCACAAAATCACCCAGTGTCTATTCCTGGCTTTGGTTTGGTGCTCCTGGCTGGCAGGCTGCTGTCACATGGCCAGGCAGGCACAGAAAGCATGAGGTACCATATCTGAAGGAGGCTCTGCAAGCTTGTCACTTCCTTCTACTGGGTGTTTGCTATTTCATCCTTTCTTGGGGGTTAACAAACTAAGACAGTGGAGACCGGATCTTCCTGATCCAGCAGTACCAGAACATCGAGACGGTCAGCACCCAGGTCCTGAAGGACACAGAGCACCCCAGTCCAGTCAGCACCCAGGTCCTGAAGGACATAGAGCACCCAGTCCAGTCAGCACCCAGGTCCTGAAGGACACAGAGCACCCA